CAGAAAAGAAACTCTCCACGGCACATCATAGTAAAAACACTAAATGTACAAAACAAAGAGACAATCCAGAAAGCTGCAAAAGAGAAACAAGTCACATATAAAGGAAAACCCATTAGGATCACAGCTGACTTTTCAATGAAAACTATGAAAGCCAGAAGAGACTGGACCAAGATATTTCCAGTTCTACATGACAGTAGATGCCAGCCCAGAATACTATACCCAGTAAAAATGTCTATTATAGTTGAGAGGGAAAGAAAAATTTTCCATGACACAAAAAGTCTGAAAGAATACATGTCCCCAAAACCAGCCCTTCAAAGAATACTTGAAGCAATACAGAGAGCAGAGAGAGAAAAAACTATACCTTGGGGCAACAAAAGAAAATAAACAAAGATATAATCTAGGAAATACAAAATTACACAGAGAACACAAATAGCAGTCAGCAACCAATACACACCTTTCAATAATAACCTTAAATATCAATGGACTAAACTCCCCAGTCAAAAGACACAGGCTAAGTGAATGGATTAAGAAACAAAACCCATCTTTTTGTTGTCTGCAAGAAACTCATTTCACTTTCAAGGACAGACACTATCTCAAAGTGAAAGGATGGAACAAAATATACCAAGCAAATGGCACTAAGAAACAAGCAGGGGTTGCAATTCTAATATCTGACAAAATAGACTTCAAAGTAAAACTAATCAGAAGAGATAAGGAGGGTCACTTCATTCTGATCAAAGAACAGTTAACCAGGAAGATATTACAATCCTTAACACATATGCACCAAATTCTGGTGCACCCAAATTCATAAAAACACTACAGGACTTTAAGACACAGATTAACCCCAATTCAGTAATAGTGGGGGACTTCAATATCCCATTGTCTCCATCAGACAGGTCAACTAGACAAAGAATAAACAGAGAAATGTCTGAATTAAATGATACCATACAGACATCTTTCGATTATTCTACCCAAATACCAAAGAATAAACTTCCTACTCAGCACCTCATAGAACTATTTCAAAAATTGACCACACGCTGGGCCATAAAACAAACCTCAACAAATACAAAAACATTGAAATAATTCCATGCATTCTATTGGACCACAAAGCAATAAGGCTCAAAACCAACACTGGACAAAGCTCTAGTCACTACATGAACTCATGCGATTGACCAACACACTCCTAAACAATGAGTGGGTCAAATGAGAAATTAAGAAAGAAGTTTAAAAAATTCCTGGAATTCAATGAAAAGGACAATACAACATCACACAACCTCTGGGACACATTAAAAGCAGTCCTAAGAGAGAAGTTTATAGCTCTAAGTGCCTACATTTAAAAATTAGAAAGAGCCCAAATAAATGACCTAACACTGCAACTCAAGGCACTTGAAATGCAAGAACAAATGAAACCCAAATCCAGCATAACAGAAGAAATAAAAAAAAATCAGAGCAGAAATTAATGAAATAGAAACAAAGAAAGCAATACAAAGAATCAACGAATCCAAGAACTGGTTCTTTGAAAAGATAAACAAGATTGACAGACCCCTA